AGTTTTCAGAAAATAAAAATTTTCAAAACCTAAAATATGTCAAAGATTAAAATAATTTAAAAATTAAAAGAATCAATTTCAAAAAAAATAAAAATTTCAATTTCTCACACTAAAAATAAAATTTTGCAAGAAAAAATATAGAAAAACAGTTCAAAAGAAAATTTCTAAATCTCATTTGAAATGTGTGTATGTGTGTTTGTGTGTTCACATTAGCAATCTAACTACATATGTATGTATGCGTATTGCATTTAACTGCTATGCGAGAACGCTGTATTCGTATAGGGACCACTGTAAATGGAGCTGCCCGAATTCGACACACTCTTCGTGCTCCTTCGGGCCATAATGCAGAGTACGGCGGCAACGACGGCCAACATCAATATGAGACCGGCGACTGCTATGGCAATGGCGAAGGTGCGCTGCGACACGCACAACGCATTCTCAAGTGTCTGCGCAAACAAACAACAAGAACAAAAAGAAAATTAAAATATTCAAGTGCGATAAGATTGTAGTATATATTAATATTTATTTACCCGCTCCTTGAGCACTGTATCATCATCGCCTTCGGACACATCCACATTCTCGTTCACATACAGACCGGAGTAGACTTCGATGGTGGCCGGTTGACCGTCTTCGTCTTTGTTATCGTTGTTAGTTTGTCGTTTCGGTCGTTTGCCGCTGCACGTAGGAGGCTAAAAGGCAACAACAACAATATAAATTCAATTCGATACCTTTGCAGTAATGTAGCGCAAAATCAATAAGAATTGCAAATAAATAGAATATATTGTGGTAATGATATGTGGCAGCACTCACCATTTGGCACTCGGGATCCTGCAGGGCGCACAAATGCACATTGCACTGATAGTACACGGATGTGGTGTAGGGGAACTTATGTGCCGGGAAGGTAACATTGGCCGCCAAGTGATCGCTGGTATAGTTGAATTGGCCCATAATCTCATTGTCCATCGGGCAACTGTCGGAAATGTTAGCAAAATTGTAGTTTAGATTAAATTTGTAATAAAAAAAAATTTTTCGAATCATTTCCGAAATTTTGATATTTTTTTAATATATTATATTATTTTCGATACTGAGACTGTTTTTCTAATGCAAATAATAAAAAATAAGGATTTAAAGAATTTTTCTTGTATAATAATACTTTTTTT